TCTTTCCTCACTTTCCTGTAGCGTTTTCCATGTGCTCGTCCTGAATGTAGCAATTGTGGGAGCTGGAGTAGCAATGGCAAGATTTTATCCAAATATAGGAGGTATCATAAGGTGAGTGTTGCTTGCACAGTGAACTTGACTATGGTGTTGCTGCATGTTTGCCTCTTGATGTTGGAAAGGAACAGAGTGAGCGCAGGTAATTGTATCTTCATATTTTGCGAGACTTACAACTTTTTAAGGTGCAAATAATGATTTAGAAGCATAAACAATCAGCTCTTTTAAAGTTCTGACAAGCAGCTATCTGTAATTGTGCCTCTAGCTGAGGTGATTGGGATGATTCCGCAAGTTTCATTGGAGCTGTGTCTGAGGACCTTCTAACTATACACATGAAAGAATATGTTGTCAGTAGAAAAGTTGCCCAATTATTGTGTGGCTTCTTTCAAGTTTTGTTATGTGTTAAGACCATTTGAAGCTGTTTTGAAATTCCATAATAAAAATCCAAGAAAGCAAGTGACTTCAAAGGGAAAAGTGACATGAAAGCTGTACTTCTAAATGATATCTTAAATTTACCATGTTAATAAATACCTAGGATTTCTATAAATGGGAAAGATTAGAGGAAACAATCTAATGAGTTTTATTTTCTACATTTGACACCACCATATTTGTAATTATCATCATTTATTCCTAGTTTGCATCTTTCCTACAGCAACCAGGAGAGGGAGGTATTTAAAAATATAGAAATCTGCAATTATAAAACCAGAATGACAGGCTTGGGTCTGACTGGAGTAGCAAAATAACTTACTTTTGCTCAGTGGCTAATCTTTGAGGTTTTTTCCATTTCTTTTTTTTTTTTTTCCTACATCTCCTTTTAGTGACAATTTTTGTATTCCAGTATTCCAAATAAATATCATGCAATACATTTCTCTGTTTGCAAACTGATCCTGACATCTTGTAATGTGTTCATACTGTCTGTAGTAACCAGACATTTTGAACACTGAATTTCCAGATGATGAATTGTCTATGTACAATCTAACTTAACTATTTGCTGGTTTTGTGTTGCAGACAGTTACTCTGTATTATGATGTTTCCTCTGACTAAAAGGAATGTTCAAGTATTTGATATAAAATATGTTGTTAGTTAGTAATGCGCATTTGGCTGCAGTATAGCTTAGCAGTAGGGGAAAATAATGAGAAGGTTTTGGTAAGCAAGGGAGTGGTTAGCAAAAGAACAGTTAAATGTTTCACTTGCTGTGGTTGATGGTGTTACCAGGAGGGCATGTTGATCTTTCCAGGTCTGGAGAATGGTTTTCTAGGAGCTCATTAAATAATTAAAATAAAGGCTGCAGATTCAGGAGCATTTCTATGCTTACATGCTTTAACATGTGTCCTCAGATGGCTGGGGTGCAATGAGATTGGCAGTTCGGACAGTAAAAGATGCCTAGAAAAGGATGCACTGTCCAGTCTTCTTCTGTTGCCTGTTGACAAATTTCCCCAAAGGAGGAAGAAACATCAAGTCAAAGATAGGGAGTCAGTCCCCAGAAGCATCTGGGGATGTGACTGAAATGTCAGAGGTATTTCACAGTGCAGGTACAGGGGAGCAGAGGGCTGAGCAACACAGTGGGGGATAGTTAAATGCCAGTGAAGGACAGCAAGGAACAGAAACTGATGTCTAGTGACTGCAGATAGTCATTGTTCAGCCAGGGTGTTCATTGGTTTGAGGGGGAAAAATTACAAGAAGAAATAAGAGTTAACAGAAAGCATTCTTTTTTTTTCTTTTCTTCTTCCCCTCTCCCCTGCTTTCCTCAGATACTCTGGAGCAACATGTGGTCTGGCCTTTGTATTCGTGTATCCTTCCCTCATCTACGTGATCTCCCTGCATCGTGCTGGGCAGCTGACGTGGCCAGCATTGATCATTCACATCTTTATAATCCTCCTTGGACTGGCTAATCTGATTGCACAATTCCTATTGTGAAAACTCCCCCTTCTTCCCTGTGGCTGTCACAAGTGGTACTGTGACATTTGGCAACAGCCTTGAGCAACTCTGTCACGCGTGAGAATGAACAGTCCTCAATATGATCTTCTTGAGAAAAGCTGCACCTTTGAAACAAACTCAAAATTTATCTTTCAGGCGCTTGACCAGGAAACCTGTCTTGCTCCTCAAAAAAACAGCATTTGATCAGAAGGGAAATGATTCAGATTTGAGTGAGGTAGTTCTGGTTTTGTTGAACATGCATCAAAGATTGATGAAGCTCAAATGTTTTAATTTTTTACGGCACACTTCTCAAAACACACAGCTTTCAGACTTGGGCCGTAGAACCCCTCTTTCCTCCAAAGGAACTGTCCTTACCTTTATTAACAAACATGCTTTCACAGTATTGTTCAGTGACTGTTGGAAATGCTCTTTTGTTGCAGTTATTTTCCTGTTTTGTTTGGAAAATGAAGAAATTATTGTCTTCCCTGGGTTTTTTTCCCCTAGGTTAATTTATAGTCATTTGGGTCAAAATGCACTCTTAATTTTGAATATGCTATTAAATTGTTTTGGCAATATTTCTCCTCTAGGAAATTTCAACTAAGAGAAACAATAAACTCATGTCTCAGTGTTTTATTCAGAACCAATATGTACACAAGTTATTTGTGATCTTACAATGAAAAAAGTCAGAAGGATATAAAAAATTAGAACAAGACAATTAAAATTAGAATTCCAGGCTTGACCTCACTTCAACTCTGTTAACTGGGCTATTACGTGCTGTGAAGTAGTCTTGTCAGGAGTTGCATGTGGTTTTATAGATGCATGTTGGACACAATGTGCATGACAGGCTTGCTCCTTCCCTTGCAGGGTCTCACTCTAGTGGTCTCACTATGCTCTTCCACTATATTACTCTAGATATTTTGGATGAGAGCAGAGAGACAAAGCTAGCACTCTTCAGAATTGTGGACTAAATCAAATAAGTTTTGAATAATTCCTAACAGAAGCTGGAAAAATCTGGAAGGGTTTTATTGTGGTTTGTTTTTTAACTTCTTGTTTACTAAGAGGGTGTACATGCATAAGCACACAGACACCTTCCTTCACTTGCCGTTTAGAAGTCTGAGTCTTAACCTAAAACATGCAATATTTAATTTGCCAGACACTAGTGGAATGTCACCTTTTGTGGTTGGAGAGTGAAAATTCCTCTTTTTACAGAATTTCAGTGTATTACAATAATCAACAAATGTAGAATAATTGTAAAAGGACTCTGAGCAATGCTAAATTCCAAAGTAAAAGAGGAGAAAAGTTCGAGTGGTGCAGTATCTGTGAAGTACAAGTTGATTAGGAAAGATAATTATATTGCAGGGTAAGAGTTCATATTTTCGTCAGAAAGACAATAAAAAGTGTAACCTAGATTATTGCCACGCTTCTCTGGGAAATAATGTGAATTTTTGTAGTAAAGAAGTAAATTAGTTTGTTTCAGTTAGGCTCCTCAAACTGTGTAAAAGGACAGTGACTTGCATAAATGTAATTTGATTTGTAAGAAATACAAGATCATACAGGTTTGGAATATTATCTGCAGAATAGAATAATTATTTCAGATTCTCACTTCTTTTCTGTGAAACTTACTGTGTCTTTAAATCAAAATTGGAGAATACATCCATCATCTCTTCTGTATTAGAGAGAAATACTTGCCCAATCCTGGTCATTTTCCCTGTGTATACTCTTGTCTTCCACTGCTTGGTTTCCTTATTCTCTAGGGCATATCTGTCCACCCTTTTCGCCGTCTGACAGTGGGCGTATCTTGCAGTGCTGACACTGTCAGCACTGGCCAAAACACCTGCTTTTTAGGGACTGGGTCTAACCTCTCCCATGAAACACTTCCTTGAATGTCTGGGTCGTCATCACTGCATGTAACTTGAAGGCTGCATTCCCTCAGCATTCTCAGCAGTGTATTTCACCAATTAGATGTGTATTTTTTTTTCCACTTTCCAGCAAACTTCCTCTTCTTTCCAACAAATTTTCCAAATTTACAGTTTCAAAACTGTAGCATGTTGCTAAACTCTCCACCGTTATTTGATACAGAAGTACTTGAACACCAAAAGGAAAGGACAAAAGATGCAGGATTTCAAGCATCATTGGCTCATTCATATTAAGCTTTTGTGCTTATTTATTATAGATTCAGTGCTTAATTTAGGTACAAACCCTGATGAATGCAGGTACTTCAATTTGATTATGTCCTTCCATGTTCCATCTGGATATGTTTCCATGAGTTAAATCCTTGCTATTGAAGCAGGTAGTAAAATGCCCATTGATTTTAGCAGAATTAGATTTTGTTTGGATCTAGTAGTTCAACAGAAATTCCCAAGTAAGACAGAGTTCATGGTGAAGTGTCTTAATTGCATCTTCTATCCATTTGTCTCATTTCCAGTTGTTCAATGTACGATGATCTGAGTTAATATTTAGAAGGAAATTACTCAGTACCTTTAGCTCTGGGTTACAGAGATAGGTTCTTGCTGCACTGTTTATTTATAGAGGCCTTTAACAGCTTTGATTTGAATTATAAATTGGTACGTATTAAAGTGATAACAAATATTTCATTACATTGCCATCACCTGAAGAACATTTTCTTGTGAGAAAGTATTCCTTTATTTTACTACATGCAGTTGAGATACTTACCAGTGATAGAAACAAGTTAGGAGTAAGTAGAGTGGTGTTTTCAGGGTTGTGGTTTTTTTATTTTGTCAACAGTCAGTGTCCTAAGTTAGGTAATATTTTAAAATTTAATGGCAACTTAAATGTCTAAAACACCAGAAGTAGATTGCAGTGTCTCTTTTTATACAAGCACAAAGCACACTTCATCTTGCTCGCTCATGCGACCTGCAGTGATGGCTAGCTAATTCCAATTCCTTATGGTCTCTGTTCCAGCAAATCATCATGTTATTTAGTGGAGCAGAAAAAGTAATATATGGACCCAGTGGTGTACTGTGAAATGTCTTCTATTACCTTCTTATAAAAGAAAAATAATTTATGCTGAAAATATTGAATTCTCTCTTTACATTTGAGCTTTGCTGGAGTAAGCTATGAGGTGAAACACTGTCAGCTCTGGTCATTGAGTAAGAGTCTAAGGATTTCTTCATAACCATACTAGGCTCTTTGTGTGGCACCATCCCTGCCTCGTTGCACTCTGAAAATCTAGCCCTCCATATTATGTGGTAACACTGTGATGCAACTGAAGTTTTCGTTGCAAGAGGCTCAAGCAGCTGTAATAATCTGTGCTGATACCATCAAGCTAAAATCCAGATCTCAAGATATATAAGGCATTAACCCAGCATGACCTTTACACATTGCCAAAGCATCAGTAGCCAGGGAAATTCCCACGAAGCTCCATGAGCATTGTGGACATGCCTGTGTAGTGAAGTTGTGGACCTGTCTGTGGGTGATTACATACAGCTTGAGCACCGAGACCAATGGATTAGTTTTTCAGTGTGAGCTTTGTGATGAACAGAAGTAGTTGTACTTTCTGAGGAGAAGAACAGATTATGGGGCTTTTATGTCTGCCTTGTGCCACGATGAGAGAAAGAATTACCTTCTCCATATCCATGCTTGTAGTAACCTCATTGCCTTCCCTGTAACAGCCTAGCATCATCTGTTCCTGTTCCTTAATGTTACTGTGGCTCAGATTCTTTGTTTCAGCTCCTAGCAGTCTTCAAAAACTTCTCCTGTGCTTATTAACTCTCAGTTTCCCCTTGCTCTTCCAGTCACTCACAGTTGCATCTGTTCCTACATATCAATTTTTCCTGTTCCGTCTGGATTAATAATGCAACACTAATGTATTAAATCTTGTAGCTCAGATGATCTGCACAGCGAAAATGAGCATTCAGGATTCAAACGGAGGGGCTCAGAGAGGACATTTTATGTAGTATTTCCTTTTTTCTTAAAAATTCAGCCTTTCAAACTCCTCATACAAAACGTCTGTAAAGATAATGGCATTTGGTTGCAGTGCTGAATGCTTTTTCGGATTGACAGTTTGCCCGCCCGGCCTCCGGACTGCCCCGTCCTCCACCAGGTTTCCACACAACGGTTGGCATTTGATTACACAATGACGTTTTTCCGTAGGGCATCAGCCTGAGAGTGCAAAGGTCGCAAGACCAATTGGTTCCCTATCATTACTCAGACCTGGCATCTCCTAACTTTGAGTGCTGGACTTTGGGCAAATGCTAATTAACATGCAAGAACATGTAGTTCAGCCCTGAGGTTGCTTAAAACTCCTTTGTGGCCCGTGTGCAGCAATGTTCCTCCAGCATGGCATAATGGCGGAATGCTGAGAGGCAGCCACGGTATAGCTGAATGCTGGAGCTGCTATGGGAAGGAGAGACTTCCCGAACGGATTAACTGAAACAGTCAAATCTTTGATAAACAGTTTGCATGCTGTGAAGTCCCAGAGACTCCTGTGTACGTACAGACAGACTGATGTTCCAGTGGCCGTGTTCTGCAGCAAAATGGTAGTAAGGGAGGCGTGAGAGACATGGTAGCTTCTGGAAAGCAGATTTTTCCCTTTCAGGGTGTTTTGCTCCAGAGGACAAATGCACTAAACATCTGTCATGATTATAATGGGTATGAAGGCACCTGAGGAAAAATAATAATGGGAAAAGGATTAGGGCTTGGTAATAGCTGGTACTGGATGTACCAGCAAAACAGTGTCCTTCTCACCTTCAGTCGGAAGCAGAAATTCCTTTCCGTGGGCAGTTCATGAAATTTGGGGGCTGTACTCTGTAATGAAAATGCTATTTTAGCAGACCTCTCGGTAACTTCCTAATAGGAAGTAAAATATTAATAATATGCAAAGCACTGATATGTTTGTTTTAGCTCATTGTACCATGCTTGATGGAGTACAGTGCAAGCTTTTCTCTCCGAGTTGGTATTCTGTGAGGTTGGAGTCACGATCAGCGTATTTAATTTCTTCTGCAGTTGAGAACACCATTAAACTTTTCTTGGAAAGGAACAGGACTCATCTTGCCAGATCCTCTCTGCCTCTCTCTCCTGTAATTTCAGATGGTGGAACCAGTGCTACGTCACTGTTGCTCTGTGGTTTGTATTTTCAAACACCAACTGATCTGAGCAGGGCAGGAAGGATCCCTTTCTTTTT